AGTAGTATCCATAATCCTTTGAAAAATTGCAGGACCAGAATGAACGCCGTTTGGCAATCGTTTGAATGAGTACAAACCCAGGTGAGTATTCACTGTAAGGTATATGGTTGTGATTCTTTAGTAACCGGAATTTGATGGTASGCTTGACTCATGTCAAGAATACTGAAAACTTTACTACCACGTAGCACTTCATAKATGTCATCAATTTTAGGCAACGGATAAGTCTCCACATCTGCACAGGAATTGTATGTGACGCTAAAATCACCACACACACGCACATCATCAGAGTTCCTCTTGCCTACTATAACGATTGGAGCTGCACAATGGGATGTAGAGACCTTTTCTAAAACTCCTTCATTTTCTAACTTGTTAAGAGCTTTTTCAACTTGATCTTTCTTTGCATATGGCACAGTTCTWGCCTTGTAGAATTTGGGTTGAGAGTGCACCTTTAGATCAACTGGAGGGCCTTTGTAGGATCCTAGTTTGTCTTCAAACAAGTTGTTATGCTTTAGTAGTAAAGAMTCTAGTGAAGTRGATTTCTCAGTAGTAGTGGTAGAAAATGGTACGTGGACCTGATGTACTTTTGTAATTCCTGGAAGATTTTTCCAATCCAATGGTATTTTCTTTAGCCAGTTTCTTCCAAATAAAGCGGTCGAACCACTAGGCACAACARGAAGAGGTAATGCATAATCATTTTCAAGGTAAGTTACTTTGACAGTGGCTTCTCCAAGATGGTTGATTTGTTCTCCAGTGTATGTAGACAATACTGTACTTGTGGGATTCAAAGGTACCTTTGCACAATATTGATCATAGAACTTCTTAGGGATTAGTGARCAAGCACAACCAGTGTCTAGTTGCATTTTTACATCATTGTTTTCAATCTTTAGTGGTACAGAAATATCACGCTGAGAAACAGTGTTCACATCATAGATAACAAACATATCACATTCATCCTCAGGAGTTTCAGTTTCATCAACAGCATTAACATCATCTTTTTTACGACATACTCTTGCCAAGTGACCCTTTCTGTTACATTTGTTGCATATTTTATCTCTGTGCTTGCATTTATTTCTCTGGTGGTCAGTTCCACCACAAGAATAACWCTTATAAGTAAACTTTGAATTTGTAGTAGTACCTTGTAGTAGCGGTTTGGAAACAGGTTTGTGTTGTTGTGGTTCGCCACGAGGCTGTTTAGCACGTAAAGGTTTAATCGTATTAACAGRCTGTGATCCTTGTTTTTGTTGAAACATTGCTGTTTCCTTCTGCGCCATTTCGTCCGCAATGGCTACTTTCAGTGAGTCTTGGAATGTCCTGTCTTGATCCAGGAGTTTCTTTCTAGTAGTTGAATTTCTAATTCCAGAGATGAATTGATCGCGRAGCGATCTTTCAAGAAAAGTTCCAAAATTACAATCTGCAGCTAGGTGTCGTAGTCGGGCACTATATTCGCTGACTGATTCATTTTCACCTTGAATACACTGATGAMATTTGTAGGTACCAGCTACCTCTAAGCTTTTTGGTTTGTAATGATCTTTCAATATTGTACATAGTTCGACGAAAGATTTATCTTTTGGAGYGGCAGGYGAACACAAATCACGTAGYGTATTGTAAGCTTTCTTTCCGATAACAGAAATCATCACAGCTACCTTCTTTTGATCTGCAGCCTTCTTTACTGCCTCCTGAGCATCAGAAGCGACAATTCCTACATCATTGGCAATGAAAAACTGCTCTAATCGCTCTAGATAAGACGCGAATRACTCTGAAGTTGAGTCGAATTCTCCAAGCGAACCAARAAATGACTTYGCCATGGCAGTGAATAAATATGAATATTTTGGGGCTAAATCTTGACGAAAACCACAGAAATTKGTAGAAAATTGAAGCAGTAGTTCCTAGCATCCCATCCTCGTCGYCAAAATTGTTGTATCTCGAAATAAGTATGATAAAATGTCAAGAAAAGACCCAAACACGATTCGCACATGGAATCAACCTTTTAATGTAATTACTACGCATGTTCTTGGTATTACACAGGTAATCCAATCATATAACAGTTCTTTAACGTCCCTCTAATACAGGTTGGTGAGTGAAGTGTAGAGAGACGGGACCTCCGATTTTACGTCGTTATCCGAGAGGACGAGAAGATCTTAYCAYTTGCAGATGGAGAAAGACAAAGGCAACAACTTCTCCTCAATTATTTTAAGACCCTGAGTGTTGGTCCGGCCGGGGTTTGAACCTGYGACCTCCCGCACTATAGTCCGATGCTTTACCTACTGAGCAAACCGGTTGACTTGTTATTCCATCTACCTCGGTTGATATATTACTGATTAGTWTGAAATGTTTTGCCTAAAGATACCATGTCAGTTTTAAATGAAACAAGTAACACTTAAAATYATGTATTATTCTTAGATAAGCTTATCAATTTAACTAAAATGATAATCATAAGTTGTTTTTCTTGCTGTTGAAAGAACATAACAACCATGCAAAAATACATAAACTGCAATCAGATCTTTTTATCTTGTTTAACAGGAAATTTKCTCTGAGAATGTCAAAAGAGTGAAGGGTCTCTACCAATACACCTGTCAAATACCCAAATGCTTTTAAAAATCCAGGTAAGCATACACCTTTAAATGGTAATTATAGAATATTATGAAAATGTCATTCTTGTTTTCTGTTTCTTTTGTGTATCATGAAAACTGAAATAATGTACTGTATGTATGTTAATTACCAGATGGACATGTGCATGTATCAATGCAAGATGTAYATTAGGTTGCTATCCATCGCAGACTGGGGTGCCCATTTTCACTGTACAGGCTGGAATTCTACATGTACTTGAATGACTTATCCTACCCTATCCTTATATCTTTTTGGTAGAAAGTTGAACCCCCAACTTGTCAACCATCTACATGCTTTATGTGCTTTATGTCTATATAGGAGCTACCGTTTTGCCATTTTAGACACAATTTTTGGATGAACATTTTCCCTATCGTATGAGATGCTCATTCGAAAAACCGAAAAAAATAGTGAAGATA